TATATATATTCATATTCATATTCATTTTCTGTACTATGATATACTATGTCAGAGCTTGGAGCAGCCCATGCCTGATATCATGGACTGCGAGGATGGCTTACGAGGGAGAGGCGAAGAATACTTGCGTGCATCCGGAGTGCATGGCCGCGGTGGTCATTGAGGCCGCCTTCTTCCCTAAACCTTAGACCCCAGACCCCAGACGAGCCCACGCCGACCCACTACCGTGGAACCTCGCCTGGCTTGTCCGAGTTGTGAGAGCGTAAACCCTAAACCCTGCTTCAAGCAGAAGTGTAGATAGCATGGCAGGACATGCAGGAACAGGAGACGAAGTTCTTGGCAGAGGTCGGGGCACATCGCCGAGTGCTTGTATCCTTTCTGCACAGCATCCACCTCTGGCCCTGCACTTGTGAGGAGAATGAGAAGAAGTTGAAGAATCGCAAAGAGTATGACATTGGATTCTTGGAGAGTTATTTGCTGCGACTTGTAGTCCTAAGACTAAAGCCTTTGTGGGACGGCCGAATGAAATGTCCGAACCCCGAAGCTCAAAAATTGGGGGGGGGGGGGGGGGGNNCGGTAGGGCAACGTCGGTCCTAATGCCCCGCAATAGCAAGTGGAATCTGCAAAAGAGCCGGGTGTCGCCAAACATGGACCATACCATGGGCAATGCGCATATGGGACATAGAGATTTCAGCTGCCAAGGATGGCGCATGGACAGTGTGCCCAAGAGCGGGACTGTTGCAGAGCGCCTGGGCTACAGCCCGGCGCCACAGGGGCTCGCCAGCCTCGTTTGGGACGAGGTGCGGGTGTGAGGTTCAGCTTGTATGGTGGTTGGAACAGGCTTTGCTTAAGCACATCTTCAGTTTGTGTCTAAATAAGTGGAGTGAGAGATTTTTTGTGTCAGCCAAGAGTCAGTTCAATGGCAACCTGAAGCAGTTTGTTTTGTCAGCTTTGTCAGGCTGCGAAGACTGTTCGTGTAGCCTCCACCCTTGAGCCAGCGGCGGCGGTCAACTTGGAGCTACCTGGTCGCAGGACTGTGGCCAAGCCGGCTGAACATCATAAGCTATAAGACATGAGGGAGTTGGAGGTGCTGACCCTGGGATAATGCAGACTGAGCCATATCGCTTGAACCTGACTTTGAGCCTAGTCCACGTGTTCTGCGACTTCCGAGCAGAAACCCCGTGCCTTCTTAGGTACTTGGTGCTTGCCCTGAAGGCCTGGCGACACGCAACTGCTGCAAAGTCTCGAAGTGCAACTCTGTGGATTCGAGCCTTGGTCGACGTAGATCGATGTTGCTGTGATTTGGCGAACAAGCGCTGCGCAAGGTTACGGATGTACCTCCTTCGATGTTACCGGGACTTGTTTTTTGGGGGGCGAGCGCCGGGAATAGCAACTTTCGTTCCTGTACATGCAAAAGCTTTATCAATTGGGACATGGGCTATGTACCCACCCACCAGCCAGCCGTAAACCCAACATGCGAAACTACGAAGCAATCGACAAAAACTCCATATCGGCAGGTGAGACGGCAAGGTCGGCGCGAGCCCTTGTTCTCACTGGACCCGGTTGACCCTCAGAACATGGAGCCGTGGCCAAGCGATCCCTTCTTCTGGGCTCTGGTTCTTCTTTGAGATTTTGGTGACTGTAGACTCACAGCTATGCTGGCTAGATACCAAAACATTGGTTGAATCTTCTGGCTCCAGGCTGCAGGGGTGTCTACAGTACGGATGTATAGGCCTACCACAAGGCTCCCAAAACGGGCGAGCAGAAGAATCAATGGTTCTGGCTAGAAGCTGCGGTCAGTCTTAGGAGAAGACACCTCAAAAGAAAGTGTTCGAGCCGGACTGGCTTGCTGGAACCAGCGTCGGCAATGTGATGTTCCAGGCTGCCGGATCACGTTCCAGCGACTGCACAGATGCTGGAGCTGTCTCTGCGAAGTCTTGCGGGAAGTGGCTGTGGCCCTGAACGGCCCTGTATAGTGACCGAGACCACCCTGGATCAGGCTGACTACTTTCTGAAGGAGCTCGCCTTAGGCCTGCATGATTCGGCTCTTCCCTATGATTATGTCTCGGGCCTGGCATTCCTAACCGTCTCCAGGCGAGTACACGATGCCTATTGTGGGAATGATGAGCGTCTTCGACTGGTCCGAAGTGCTGGAGATGCACCACCAATGGACAGGTCGCGAGTGGTTCGTGGCCAGAACCTCAGCAACCAGTTCTTTGCTCGCCGTAGCTCATGGCAGTCGGCCGAGGTGAAAAAGGCTGAGGTCCGTCTGGCCGAGGAGAGACGTCAAGCACAAAAGCCGAAGCTTTGCAACAGCCCTAAACCCTCAGCCCTGAAACCCAAGACCCTGTTTCATACCACAATAATTCTAATCAACAAGGCCCATACAACAGCAGGACAAGACCTTGGTGCCCTTCGTCAAGATGGGCGTGGAGGCCCGCGAGCAGGCGCCACCGAGTTCTGGGAATTCAGAAGGCAGGGATACCTTGCTCGTAAGGATCCTTGTGTTGAGGGCTCAGAAGTAAGGGTCCCTTACTTTCTGAAGCTCTCTTGCGCTGAATCCTGGAATCCTGGACACAACGAATAAACTCACCGCTATAATAGGCACTACCCTTGATGTGCTGACCATCTCCCGGTTTGCAGCTTGTAAATGTTATGACAAGCGATTCGTCTCGACGGCGGCCCAGCAGTCGTAAGCTGATGTCGTGCAGGTACTCGGGCCTAGGCAAACAGCGGTTTCTACGTTCCATGTAGCTTGCATTGGCCGCGGTTTCACAACCCGAAAATCCAACAGCCCCAGAAGCCCGGACTGTACGAGTAAGGCAAGCAGGTCCCTGGAACCCGAGGTGTTGAAAGCCTGACAACCGCCGGGTCAGAAGACATTTAACATCCAGGCTTTCGAGCAAGTTCACATCCCCGACAGCATGCAAGACGCCAGCAAGTTTATGGAGCAACTTTACCATACACATGCCTTTCTTAAAGGCCTTGCATTCCAGCACGAGGAGATACTTACTGTACATCTAGTGAAGACGGGGAACGCTTGACTTATGACACGATGTGACAACGCAGGATCGTTGATCAAGATCCCCCAACGCTGCCGAGAGCAAAAAGACTCGAGGGCACTGCTCCCTTCGTACCCGAACCGTAGCTTAGCACCACCTAACCCGACCTTAAACCACCACAACCTACTCCGTGTCGGTACGGTTCCCGCAAACTCAACCTGTGGGTTGCCATATTGAGGCCCTACCAGCAACAAAGTAGATTCTCTCAGTTTGAAGTGTATGCTGCTTTCAATCCGAAAGAGCTTTAATGCCTCAAGCAGTGCGAATCTCCCTCAACATAGGGAGCCGAAAGTGCAGCTGCTACCAGGGATGGCAAGTTTTACCATGCATCCAAGGGTCCGGAGGCAAGACATGACCAAGAGTTTTTGAGAGCCAACCCGGCAAGAGGTGCTGACTGCCGAAGGGCTCCGGGATGCGCCCATCACCGGCGCCAACCATCCGCTCCGAAGGCGTTCGAGGGTTTTTTGATTTCGAGCCTGGGTTCTCTGGGCTCTGGGGTTCAGGGCTAGGGGGTTTTGGGTTTGGGACTGCAAAGAGGTCTCCATGACAGGCTTGAAGGTGAAGGCGGCATGAGGGGTCTCGGCTAAACCGGCTTGAGGGACAACAGCAGGCGTGTCCAGCAATGTGCGAGATGTAAAACCGGGCGGCATTATTACAGGCAGAATCTTTGTAACATATAATATGAGGATGTTCAAGCCCAGACGCCTGTCGCTGCATTATAACGGGCACGAATGAGTGTTTGGCGCAGGCCTTGTCAACATCGTGGCTAATCTTAAGCAAATCCTGGTTCCTGATGCTTCAGGTTTGCAGATGCATTCACTCGCAACTTCGACCTCATTGCGGAGAGGAAGAGTGCCCGGAGACCAAGATAGTCTAATCCGACCTCTGAGAAGCAGACTGCCTTTCGCGAGTCACACAGGCAAGAATGAAGTCGCAAACGCGGATACCGAAATGATAGGGATGGATGCTGAACCTGGCAAGGGAACAGGCAACTTGCATGAACGACGAGCTGCATCCGCACAGGCTATCTAGAAACTTACGAACTCCGAACCTGGTACATGCTTGCCGTTTTAAGGTGGTGTACCACTTGCGCGAGCTGGCCAAGGCAAAGGACAACTCAAACTTTAAATTCTGTAGGGGAGCCAGCCAGGGTTCAGTATCCCTACCACTCCCTGCACCCTTCAGTAACAAACCCTCAACCGTCCAAGGGTAACCAGATGGGTTTTGCAGTTTAAGGTTTCCGGGGTGTCTTGAGGATGAAGAGTCTTGAGTCGCAGGTTTTATCTGATCGCGGCTGCTAAAAGTCTTCTGCCCCACGAAAAGAGGCCTCCGTTGTCGCGAAGTTTCTTGTGGACTCCGGTGCCAAGTTGGACCAGCGTGCGGCACTTAAATTTCGAAAGCATTTATATATAATATGGAGTCTTTGTTTTTTGTGGCTCCGCGCGCTTTGCAGGTTGGCTTGATCTGGCCGACGAGATTGTCGAGAATAAGGTGCCGGAGGCCTTCCCTGAGATTCCGCAGCTTTGGAACATGCGGGGTCTCTCGCGCATCCGCTTGGAGATTCCTGGCGCAAGATTTAGAGTCCAGGACGGCGTTCGCACATCGCACCAGTTCTGTTCAAAAACCGGAGAGCACTGTCTCTCTGCAGGTCAGGTCTGGATCATGGCTGCACGTAGCCGTGCCGTGGTCCAAGGAATGGCAAGGTCGTGGACACTGAGACCGGCTTAGTCACGAATCTGCATGCCATCTACGGTGGCGTGGAGTCTTTCGGCTCGGGAGACTGGGAGAGGTTTGTTTCTGTGCTGAGGGGTTTGTAGTGATATACACTTCGAACCGAGAGTTCCTCTAAGGGGCACTCTTGAAGATGGTCCTAGCGGGGCCTGCTCAGGTTTGGCTTGGATCGCTTCGAGCTGGCTCAGCGCCGACCGGGCATCCCGGTGCCGGGAATGGCTATGCAGCAGTCTCCCTTGCAAGGCATGCAGCTGGGCCCTTCCGGGCGGCCCATGTTCATGCCGCAGCGATTCCAGCTGAGCCAGCGGGGAGAGATGCCACAGGGTGTGGACTTGAATTTGGACCAATTCAACCTGACGGAAGTGGAGCAGTTTGCTGGTACCCTCCCTGCCTGCAGCGGTGACGCGAAGTCCCTGGAAGCGCGGGTAACATTGGGTCGGGCCTTCTTGGAAAGCCTGCGATCTGGCTTTGGCAAGGACATGGCGAATGACAACAAAGAGCTTTTGAAGGGAATCTTCAACCCTGCACTGGCAGACAGGATGGAGGAGGGGGATCCTTTCGTTCCTCCTGACCCCAACAATTCTTACATCTCCAAGGTCCGGGGCCTTGTGAGCGAAGAGCAGGCACTCTTGAAGAAGCGGAAAGGCGCCTTCTGTGACCGCTCCTTTGCTCCCGGAAGCTGTGGGCCTGAGTTCCCACGGTCCTGGACTTCCCGGTTCACCATGGAGAACGGCGTGTCCCCTGCGGTGATGATGAAGCTGCGGTCTGCCATGGTCCAGCTGCAGGTGGACGCCACCTTCCAGCAGACACTTCTCAACGATGTCGGACGCTTAGCCTCCCCGCCGTTGGTGGAGCCGGTCGCAGATTTTTCCGTCCCTGCCCAGTGACGGTCCCCAGCCAGCATAGCCAGCGCAAAAGCTGCTAAGGTCTTGCCGGTTGCAGCCCCTGAGTTCAACAAGGCCACCGAGGATGGGGTCGTCTTCCGCATCTACCGGATCGGTAGCCTGGAGGTCCGAACAATCCAGGAGCCCGGAAGCTCTGAGCCCCTCGGACCTGCCAGGAGTCTTAGGCGATAACTGGCGCTAACACGAGGAGCCACAAAAGAAGTCCGAGTAGTTCAGTGTAGTTCATGCCAGCCGCAGATGCGAGCTTGCTGCTTCCGGTGCCGAAGTTGAGGTCCGTGGCCGTGGTTTTCTCCACCCGTGCACCGAGCTGGGGACATGCACAGCGGAAGGCCGTGAAAGAGGCGCAAGTCAGCACGAACTGCATGCAGTGACGGGACAACCTGCTGGCGCCATGCGACGCCTTAGCACTTCGAACAGCTGGCTGTGAGTTTGCACGTGCATGTCCAGTCAGTAGACCTCGCAGGCGCACGGGCCAGAAAAGGTGGTGCGCGGCCGCCTTTATCTCGAGGCCGCGCTTGGAGCTTCAGGGTTTGGGCCTGGCGTGCTCTCGGGTGCAGTGGAAGGGTCCTCCCTCATGCGGCGCTGGCTAAACCGCGATCTGAGCCCTGCAAAACCCTGAAAGTTTGTTCTAATATCATGTCCAACCAAACCATTTTGGGAGTGCCCGACGGTTTCCGCAAACCTCCAGGGTTCCAGGAGTACTGGTGTTCAGGAGGCTGTCAGTCAGTCCGTAAGGCGTGACTGAAACGCTTGTAGAGACAAAGCGCAACCAGCGTTTGAGCGCAAGGCCTTGGATGCCGAGTCAGCTAGACGACTCGACATGCGCTGGTCTAGCAAGAGGCCTGTGTCTGCATGGTCCAAGGAGCATTGCAGTTTCTGCCTCAAAACAAACAGCATGAGCCTGAAACCAATGCCTGCGCGAGTGTGCGAGTCGAAACCGGGACACTGGGGTTTGTTTTTCGGTTGCCACCGTGGACCCTGTGTTGTGCTGATAACTCTAAACACCTTCGTCCTGCTGCTCGAGGAAGTTGACAGCAAAGTAAAGGGGTTTCGGTCCTAAGATGGACTGATACAATCCTCGGAACGTTCGCCCACACTCTTTGAAGTGTGGAAGGTCGGACTACTGTCACTATTATGTCGTGCTGGAGACCGAAGGCAACAACACCATAGTGACGGAGAAGCTGGCCGATGGAAGTGCCATTGCTTGACTCGTGTGGCTGTCGGATAGACAGGGGATCCTTATCAGCGAACCTTGTGGACACCTTGGGCTCTCTGGGGAAGCCGAGGTGAGAATGCCTCATACCTAAGCCCCCCCAGGTAGCGACTACTAAACCCTACCAGGAACCTCGCCAAGGTAAGTCCGAGAGTGAGTGCTGAAACCCTAATTTGACAGAGGCTTCCGAGTATTCTCAGGTACGCTGATGTTCATGAACCCGGATGGTCTCGAGGATCGCAACTCGATGGCCAAACTCCTGTCGACATCAGCACCTTATCAGCACAGAGTCGTTATGGTTTCGGGAAAGTTTAGGGTTTAGGAGGGGTTTACAGGAGAGCTCCAATGAAGCCTGTGTAAAAGTGGGCTTATTGTTTAAGCATTCGCGGCCAGGCCCTGCTGTTTAGGGTGTTGGCACACGATCCAAGCCCATGCTGAAAAAGGATTCGCGGCCATGCTTTGAGCCAGAGCCTGCTCTTGGTCCAAGGAAGACTGCAGGGAGATGAACGTTGACGTGGCCAGGATCAGGCAGTTGCAGAAGCTTGCCTGCAACCGACTGCACCCGAAGCTCTGAAATGTGTAGGACAGGGCTCTGAAGCAATTTAAACACAATTTAGAAATAGTTTCTATGATAGTCAGTCCGGACAGCTCTACATGGCCCCTTTGTGATGGCATTTACCTTAGCGATTGGCTCCGATGGCTTCTGTCCTACTAGTCGAGTCTTGTGCGAAGTTTGTCATCTCGACGTAGAGAGCTCTAGGACTCTAGGAAGCGAGCCATCGACCGAATCACTCAGGATTACCAGCAATCGAAAGCTGCCGGAGGTGGGTGCTGCGAGAGTCTATTGAACAGTAGAACGAATTGGTATCATGATCCTTCTTGGCTCTGCTTCTTGTTCATCCTCGTCAGTTTTGCTCCGCATGCGCAGGGCGCGTGCCCATCCATGCGAAAGCACTATGCTCGCTCAGTTTTCGCGTTGGTGAAGCAGAAGGCACACGGGCCCTCTGCTGCTGCCTGCACAGTTTCGTTTCGTACATTTGCGGCTGCACCATTTTGCATCGCATCCTGCCTTGTTGCACCTGGGACAACTCTGATGAGGCTGATGTGCCGAAGCAATTTTCTCTCACAGCTCAGTGAAGTTGTAGCGTAGAGCAGTTGCGATGCCCGCAAGTAAGAGAACAGACAGCCCGGCGCCAAAAGCCACTCCGGGCAAAACTGTCCAGACCGAGTCCTCATCGCCGCCAGGGAAAGTCGTCCGCAAGCAGACGCGTCCCATCGGCGAGTTCTATGGCAACATTGGCACAGGCTTTTGGACCTTCTTTATTCCGGCTGCAATCTACTACTTTTATGGGATCATGGTGATGCATGCCGGACGACTTGTGATTCCAAGCCCTAGCTTCTGGTATGACCTCGTCTATGCCCTTCCAGACGGCCTTTCGATCAAGCCGTGCTGGGGGCCGACAGTAGTGTCCTTGACCTGGGTCTGCTGCCAAGCTCTCGGAGAAATACTCCTTCCAGGGAAGATGAAAGAGGGTGTGATGCTCAAGAATGGGCGCAAGTTGATCTACCCGATGAACGGTCTGTTGTGCTTCTTCCTGAGCCACGTGGGCTTGTACCTGGCATGCTCCTATGAGATCATCCCGCCGTACTACGTCTTTGCAAACATGGGCGCGCTGTTGACGGAGGCTGTGATCACCAGCTATGTCATGGCCTTGTGGTTATACGTCGACTTCGGCATCTTCTGGAGTCGTCACACGGACGATCCAGACTCTCGAGTGCATCTGGCGCCTTGTAGAGAGCTTGGGTCGGAAAGAAGCTGCTGCAAGAGATGGGTGTCTCTCTAAGGAGTTCGAAGAGGATCATGGCGTGTTCCACTTCAAGGACACGACGGCTGAGAGGTTGCCATCGCTGGTCGCTGTTTTGTTTGCCACAAGCCTTGCGATTCCTGGAGCACCTATGTAGCGAGTTCTAACTACAACACTATTCATGCAGAAGCCAAAATAACTCTAACTACAAAGTGAGATGCCGAAGACCTGAACCGCTCAGATCGCTTTTGCAGGACTTCTTCAATGACTTCTTTATGGGCGTCGTCCGCAACCCGCGCATGTTTCATGGTATCCTCAAGGTCCCGTTTGACCTGAAACGATTCTGGAATGCCCGCCCCGGTCTCACCGGATGGGTGATCTTGAACATCTCCTATCTGGCCGCTCTGTCCAATCCACAAGCCGTTTTTTGCTTTGACTGGTGACGTTTGGCAGCCGTTTTTGCAGATTCCCCCGCCGTCTTTCGCATGAGGCCAGCATGTACTACAACTGCAAGCTGCCGACGGCATACGGGGCCAGCGACTCCTTGTTCTTTGGAGACCACGAGGCGCGCCCTGAAGAAGAGTCGAATTTTCTGGTTCTCTCTTGTGGTGTGGCTTCGTGTACCTGTGCGACAGCAGTCACTAGTGTGGATTGCGAGCCCGAAATGGGAGAGGAGAGGCTTGAAGCTGTGAGGGCAGTTAGAGGAACGCACGAGCCAGCTCGAAACCCTGCTCTTGCTGCGCAGGTCAAGTCAGCACAGATCCAGGCTATCTTCAAAGGGAAGAGCCCTGACTCTTTCTGCGATGAGACAGGCCGAAATTCCAAGCATTCGACGCTTCCTGGCACCTTGTCTAGGGCCTGAAGAATCTGAACCTGGCTCAGGCTCCCTGGAGAACATTGGCCTTGCGGCGCTTTTCATCACCTTTGCCCACTGGCACCTCGCCGGATCATTGAAAACTCTACATGTAGTGGATTGATCTGTGCATCTCTTGCGCTTGCTGCCGGCTGCTTCCGTCATAAAGCAGGATACCCCCAGCTAGCAGTGTGTTTCAATGGAAAGACTTCATGGACCTACGGACGCGAAATGCAGGTACTATATCTTTGACTACAACCTTGTGGAGCCAGCCTACTTGACCACGACTGACATTCGCCATGACCTCTTCGGCTTCATGTTGACATACGGTGACTGAGCTTCCATTTCTGATTATTGCCATGATGTGCCATGTTTGTCAGAGGTTGAGGCTGCAACTACTGGCTTCCCTTCAGTGATTGCAGGGCTTAAAGTGTTTAGATCCCCAATCGTGGCCAACTTGATCACGCACAATGTGTCAGAAAGTATGTTACAGAAAGAGCACACCCCGAAGTCACTACATCTCTCTCTTCGATATATACGTATATATATATATAGATAGATAGATAGGTAGATATCTGTATCTATATGTTTACGTCCGAAATGGCACACATGTAATCCCAGCCTCAGGTGACTGGGGATTCCTGAGCCGCTTCTACCCTATCTGCTTCATGGGCTTTTTGGCCCAGCAGGGAAGTCAGAACAATGGCTACATCACCAAGAACTACGTGTTTGCGGGCATTGGCGTCTGCATGTACCTGTTCGGAATGGTCCTGTTCCGGGTGACAAACATCGAGAAGCACCTCTTCAGAGATCATATGAACAATGGAGGCCGGCTTCGGGATTAGAAGTTTTTCAGCGTGAATGAGCTCTGAGGTTTCGCTGCACACAAAACCAGGCTGTGCTCGATGCCAGGTTCTGCAGACAAGTACCGCTCGCCATGGAGCACTCGAATCTTTTTCGGCGACAAGAAGCCCGAGTTCATCAAGACGAAGGAAGGCTCGCTGTTGCTAACCTCCGGTTACTGGGGCTTGGCGCGCCACTTCAACTACATCGGCGACCTCACGATGTGCATTGGGTGCTTTGGCTGTCCGTAAGTCCAAGAAAGAAAAACCAGCGGTCGGCCGGCAGGGCAGAACCAGAGACGATTGCATGTGTCCCTACATTGCAATACTGTAAGTTGCGTCTGTGAGGTGGGCCACTGCTTGCTACGATCCGGAGTCGCCTTTCATTTGGCTCCCTATCGCCTACTGCTCCTCGGATGTGAAGAGGCTACCTGAAGGTTCATGGATTAGTAGACTCAGTAGACGTATACCGTATAAGTGCCCCTGTCGGAGTCGCAGTTATTGTAGTTAGCACCTCTACCTACACTTGCTGAGCATGTGGCATTCGGAGGCTAGGCTAGACAGCTAGCCTTGTTGCGAATGGCAGTTGAAACCTCCATGCAATAGAAGTTGAAGCTTGTACCGACACCCAGGTCAAGCTAAACACCCGGGAACTAGACTAACTACACCACCACCCAAATGGCAGGTCGGCACAAGGTGTGTTGGTTTACAAGACTGTTGCTGCTTTGTCGTCCCTTCACGTAGTGCGACAAAGCACGACAAGCCCTTCGCTCCTTGACGTGTGCAGTACAGGAAGCCTGCACGCTGCTTTTGTGAAGCCTGTCGGACTTTGTCATCTCCGTAGGCGAATGAGTGAGGGCACCCAAGAATCCCGACCTCCTGGGTCTGGCGGAACAGAACCCAGAAAGACACGTCCAAACTCTCAGCCCAATTCCTAATGAGGCATCTACTTCTGGCTCATGGACTGCCACCGATGCTGGCGAGATGAGGTGCGCTGCTCGAAGAAGTACGGCCCCGACTGGGAGCGCTACAGGAGCGGAGGCTTTTGCGGTTGCAGGTTTGATGCGAAGGAAGGCAGCGCCTCTCTACTTGTAGAAGGCTCAAGCAAGCTCCTGTGCTTCTGTTTGAGAGAAGTAGTGGTTCTGTTTTGGAAGTAGTTATCAACAAAACGCTCGCATGGAGTTCTCCCTCTCATCACACCATGTAAATGTGCATGCCGCCAGAACTATGACCCTGACTTGCTACACGTTGCCAGCACGGAATAGCAATGCTGGTAAGCCCATGCTGCTCTCCCAGAGAGATGTTAGAGCACATGTATGTCTCACTATGCCGAGAGAAAGAGAACCCCATTCAGTCTCAAATTCATGGGTCTATCAATACAGGTATGTCGAGCGTCTGTCATCGCAAGCAGCAGAGCGACATAGCAAGACATTTGCTCGGTCCATGAATCTGTTCGTTGCCTCCTGCAAGCAGAAACGATCAAGAGCGCATCTCCCACGCTCAAGTTGCCACCCCCCAGCTCATCCCGCATGCGAACAGACCAAAGGTAGATACTTCAGCACGCCAACGCGGCAGGACAACACGACTTCCCATGATTTCTAGCCATTAAGCAATTGCTGCTGCCAGAATGTCACGAAGCCCAGAAATTGCTAGCATTCGTTCGTTTCTATGATAAGGCTGCTTTGCCCTCTTCACCTCTTCTCTTACATAAGCGGCAAGCACTGTAAGGCAGTTCTACTCAGTGCTTCAGGTATCAGATGTTGCTTGAAATGCCAGGACAAAGCTTTTTCTCCTCTATTCCGTTTAACTTCTCTTAGGAGGACATAGGGGCGCTGAGCTCTTGGGAGCCATGATGACAGAAGGTAGACCGTGGAAATCAGAACCCCAAACAACACAGAGAGCACACTACATGCAACGACCCACGAAGCTTGAGAAAATCTCTTGGCCCATCCTTGGGCCCCGGGAAAATCCCCACTTATGAACACAAGAGTTACCCCAAAACTATGTAATCAATGCGATCTGAAACCGAGTTACCCCTCCACCAGAATCATTGTTTTCATATTTTGCCGTAGTCGTTTGGGTGCAGAGAGGGGGGAGGAAAAAGTACGAGAAGCATGAACGGAACTTTTGAACTGATCATGGAAAAGCGAGGCAGTAGGAATATGCGGAATAACTATAACAGGATCTGAAAATTGTGAGACATGTGTCACATGATATCACGAGAGAGGGACAGCGCCAACCAAGCCAGCAAGCAGCCTGAGGCCTCCTGTTGAGCAAGGTTCAGCCGACCTCCTTTAAAAATCTCAAACATCCCCGAACTTCAGCAGAGACACCGAGAACAGTGTTCAAGACAAGCGAGGGAGACCGTTTGGAGTTGGATTGGTCTGATTCCTTCTCTGCGGGCACGTGCAGTAGACTTTGTGCAAGTTGGAAGATTAGCTGTGCTGCAAACGCAGGAAGGCTGTGCCGTACTACATCTTCCCTGGCATCTGGTAAATGAGACTGCTGAGCGAGCCTGGTCCTTTGAATTTTGGCGTGAGCAACGGTGGCCATAAGGTGCTGCAGTGTAGATCACAGGCCGCTGTACAACAGCAACAGCAAAATGCAATATGCAATTGGATCATGAGTGATCAACCTCTCGGGCACAAAAAGGGCCGCCTTGAGAGAACGGCAGTTGCGGCTGAGCTGTCCTCGTGATGAACCGGTCAATATGACATTCAAGGTCGTTGAAGTGTAAGCATAGATATGTCCTCTACACGTACAGATTATGCATGTTCGCCATACAGGTTGTGTTATACGTGAAGTTGCTTCGATGATCTGCACTCACCGTAAGCTCCATGTCTCTGATTATATGTATAAGCACCCGCAGTAATTGCAGACTTGAACCTGCAGGCTCCGCCCAAGGAGAAGGCTGGATGCTGGATTTTGGCTTGTTCTCTAGCGCGATTTCACCGGCGATTTCACCGGATAGTGGTATTTAGTATTATGACAAAGCTGAGTTGCAACATGTCATGTTGGTCATTGCAATGACAGCCGTGGTAAATAAACACCACGGTCAGCATACTCCTTGTTGATGCTTCACCTCAAAAGTAGCAGCCGTGCGAATGCCAGCAGCAGAATTGCTCAAATTTGTGACAGCGATCGTTAGCATGAATGAAGCCTTGAACCCCCAGGGCTCTAAACAACCAAACAAAGGCCTCTAAACCTCAACCGTCTGTGGCCGCGCCATTAGCCCTGCCTCCCCTGTTGAGCACTGTGAACTGCCCTGTCACCCTGGCAAGGAATCGGATGTCATTCGACCTGACATCTGCTGCAGAAACCACAGCTCAACCTTGTATGTACACTGAAGCCTTGTCATTATCATGCCTTATCTAAAGCCCTACCCCCCTACAGCCCTCGATAAAAGCCCACAATTCCAACCCGGATGACCCCAAACCAGGCCAAGTGGACGAAGTCCGGAGCTGAGCGAAGGCTTCTTCGCAGCAAGGAGTTGAGAGGTGGTTCTGATTCAGGTTACTCCTGGATCATCACGGCGCTAAGAGTAGTTCGTGGTTTTTACAAGGGCTGTCGGGTTCTGAGAGGGTGGGAGAGGGCTTTGCCAAGCTTTGTGCTCGGAGCTCTCCATTCGGTCCCTAGCAGATGCAGTAGCAGGATGGATGCAAAAAAGGGTTCACTGCGGAGGCCTGTTGTCAGCAAAAAACCAGCAAAACACAGGCATTGTAGGGTTTTGGTTGTAGGCTTTGGTGGGCGTTTGTTTTTGAGTCCGTGCTTTTTGGGGGTTGAGGGTCCTTGGAGCTGGTGTCAGAGGGCTCAGGGCTCTGAGCCTTGGCGGTCAAAAGTCAAAACCCATTCTTTTTCGAGCTTCGTTGTAGAAGATGTGCCGTTGAATCATTTCTGCACATCCGGCTTGCGCTCCATGGAATTTCGCTAAGCACTCGAACCAACCATGAACCCGGCAGCCACACAACGACAAGAATAAGCCGAAATCCTCGTAGGACGAAAAGCTGAAGCCCAGGCCCTACACGAGCAGAAAGTCCGTCAACTCCAAGGAGGACTTGATCTGACCTGCCTTCACATCGATGGGGGATGGACCGGGATAGAGGTTGCTGTTCTGAATGCCCATACTGCAATAGCAGGTGATGATAGCCACTGCAACCGCAGTTTATCTGTCAATCCCATCTGAGGCAAGCAGTAGTTTTGCTTCCGAAGTGGAGCGGTTGAGAGACTGCTTCGGCCCAGAGTCCTGCAGGAGGCTGTGGCGAAGCCGCAACAGGAGACTTGCTAAGAAGACTCAAGGCAGAGACATGACGCGTCGTTTCACGTTGCCCGAGCGGTTTGGGTCACGCGCCTTTGAAGAAATGCTTGGTGCTGCTGTTTGTCACTTTTGAAGGGACCTGAATAACGTCACATCCTGGGGCCTGTTCTGCACAATAAACATGAGTAAGGTCAAGCGGTATGTTTTTGTTTTGCCAGTCTGCTGCAGCAAGACGTTCAATTTTGCATTTCATCGGAACTTTCGACAAGGTCAGTCGCGAGACGTATGTGTCGTGTCTGTGCGGGCTTGCTTCTTTGTAGGGGCCTTCGCGAAGGGCAGCAGGTTGTGCTTTACCGAAAGTTGCCACCCAGCCAAAGACGACATGTCAGAGTGTCGAAGAAAGCTCCAGACCATGATGCCTCTGCAGGTGTCAAGACAAGATGAGCTACCCGGTACCCGCCAGCTCGAGCGGGCCGCTGGTGCCCCTCAGCCAGCTGATCGTCAGAAAGTTAATGCTGGCCCAACAGCCGCCGCGTGCCAGGGTTCACGACATGTGCGAAGGCGAACAATATTGCTAGCTATCTTCAATCGCCACAGGCATACTATGGACGGAGCACGAACACAAGGAGGGCAAGAAGGGCATGGCATGCGACACAAGTTAAACAGTTAAACTGCCTAAAACGTAACTTGCTGTTGATGGAGTTGAAGCTAGCCAAGAACATGTTGCGAACCTGGTACAGTTCCACAGTGTCTTCTTTGGGCAATCGCTGCCCATGCTGTGAAAGCGCTAATTACCTACCCTTCTTCAACAGTGCAACCAGATTCTAGTTCTTCCTAGCCGCGGCTGTGGAGAAAAGCATTTGTCACTTCCTCATGGCACCGGCACGCATTGGTCGCGTGTTCTTGCCTACATCAAGGGTTGCTGGGGCCACTCGCCAATTCAGTACCAACTGCGGCAGTGCTGCATGGCTGCAGGAGCAGTGGAGAACAACAGTCGCATGGTGCTGTGCTGCACGACCTTTGCAGCCTGACTAGATCCCATAATTAGTGAAATTCAAACATCGTTGTCCTGCAAAAAGGGTTCCTGCTGCCAGTTTGCGGCAGCAAGGCGAGAAGGAAGGCAATATCTCGCTATCACATATCATGGTTCTGTTAGTCGGGATTGCCTAGCAATGCTTTTGCCGCATATTTTCGACATTATCATGTGGTTCTTGCCTCTACATCGGAATCGATTTCGCCATCTGTGGCCATGGGCGGCTGTTGTGCAAAGACATGGCGGCCATGGCATTTTCATTCAACAGCATGAGTGATGGGACGCTGCTTGGCTCGACGAAGCATGACCCTGAAACAAACGCGAGAGTCCAGTCAGCGCAGGGAGCCTGGACCATCCTAAACCTAGGCAGAGTGGGAGAGTCCGCAGCCAGAGCCCTAAGTCTCAAAGCAGCGTCCCGGCTCTTCAAGGTCCCAGGGAGAGGGAGGTTTGGCATCCTACGGATAAGACAAGTAAGTTAACGGCTGCATAAGCATTGGCAACACCAGCAGGGACAGTAGTACTTGTAGTAGTGGTAACAATGTGTACGGTAGTTCGTGTCAGAAACAATAGTAATTCTAATCGTGATAGTCGTAGTAAAGGTAAGAGCGCAAGAAGACATAGTAAGAATGGCAACACATGCTATACTATCGATGCTGCTATACATGAAAACAGTGGAATAACAGCACAATGTAACGATATACTGATATACTGACAGCAGCAATAGTGGGTAGCAATAATAGCAAAACTGGCCCCAACTGAGATCATAACCAGCAGAGAAGAGCTCAGGCTGGATACCTCGCGCGGCGAAAACTCCTTATTGGATCGGATCGATGAGTTGGAAACCTACAACAAGTTCCTCGTCTGGGCAGTTGTAGCCCTACATCGCGAAATCAGAGCTAGTCGTAGAGTCTCGACGATGAATGGGCTTTGCCTGTTCTTTGGGACGGATGGGGCCAGTTCTGATTCCTGTGTAATGCTGACTGTGGAAGCGTTCGGCGAGATGCCAGATACCAGTCCTGAACCCCTAGGCAGGGCTTGAGAGGCAGTGCGGGCGATTGACTGAATCGTTTGTTGTCCGTTTAGAAAGAGGTGTCACCATCCACAAGAGGCGGTTCAAGCCTAGTGCACTCTTGACCAGTCATTTGGCCTTTTTAGGGGATCTCCTGAAAAAGGTTGAACATACAGCAGGAAGGAGCGCACCCTCATCTTTGTGGAGGCTATTGGCGTAGCATACAACAGCTACGGCGTACCCTTGCCGTTCGCGCAAAAAATACGTACCTACCAGTCCCCAAAACTGCATGCGAGCTTGTGCCGCAAGAATCCGTTTAATCTTGTGGGCTGTTGCGGAGAAGCTTGGCTCCTGCCAGCCAAGGCAGATGAATCGGCTGGGGGAGGTGCGGCTTCTGCAACTTCGCCACGCCAAGGACCAGCTGCTGCAGAAGAGGCTTCCGGTATGCAAACGTGACTCTTAGACGATGCGCTGTGAAGTTTCAGAAGGGAGACGGGGGGGCAGGGAAAGAAAGAGATGCGAGCATATCAATGCCTATGTTGCGAGCCTGTAGAGCAGCTGTTTCCGGATGCGACAACAGTTTGATAAACTCAGGCGGAGAGCAGCAAGCGACGAGGCCAAGTCTGTTGATGAATCAGTTAATCGTGCAGCTGCAACTCTTGACCCTATACCCTAAAGCCGATCAAGCTTTTGCCATGTGGGATGCCGAGAAGCTGATTTTCAAAGGCAAAATGCACCCTGCCGGTTTCCTGTAGGGGCATCTCTAGAAGCGGTTGCTTGCAAAGTTCTTCCCACCCAGAAGCTGACTAATTAGTCATAATTAGTGATGTGATGTGTGAGATGGCTGCAGGTTTATGATTGGTTTTTCTATGTCTGTACGTTGTTGCTTAAAACCGCTCATGCTTGGCATGGCCATGTTCTTATGGTGAACTGTCACAAGCACCATGAACCAAGATAGGGTCTCATTGCCTTTTCTCCGTTGCGGTGCCAGACTCCCCGCCGAAGCCGGTTCACCGGCTCTCCAGGTGAGTGTGGTCGACTTCTCCTGTCGGACACCCTCCGCTAGCTCCACGGCCCCGGCACCAGCACAGGCCTTCTTGTTGGGAGTGTATGTGGGACGGAGGACTAGAAATTGGGGTTGTGTAGTTGGGCTGCATCTGTGCATGGCGAGTCAAGGGCTTGCAGGTTTCTGCATGAATTCCCAGAGATTCTGCTCATGATCAGAAACTAGGATTCGGGGTTCCAGCAACCCATTATTGTTTGTTGCCGCATGCCACTATTTCATTGTTGTTCTGCCTATTGCTGTGATGACGATGATTTTTCCTACTGCCACGGCTACGGCAACGGCTCCTGCTGATAAATGCTCCTGCTGCTGCTGCTGCTGCTACTATTGCTACTACTGCTACGACGACGACTACCGTACTGCTGCTGCAAAACCCCCTCTACTTCGAATAAGACAAGTACGATACAGACAGCTGATGACCAGTCACAAGTCAGGTCTGCTCTCCAAGCAAGACTTCCGAAAGGCGGGCGGATCCATGTCTCAACCAATACCAGACCAGATGGAGACATGGAAAATCCACAAACCCTAATAAGACCCTAAGCTGTCAGATGCTTCTGATAGGTGCAAGACACGTTGAAGACTAGGAACGCCCTAGATGGCTAGTCTTTCGTGTTTATAACCGTCGATATCGATCTAATGCGGTGAGAGTGCCGTTTATCCGTTGTATCCCTCAGAAGTTAATGCGTGCACGACACGACTGCGGAAACACCCATGCATGTTCACCACTTGCATCGTGATGCAGCAGTGGTAGCGGTAGTGGTAGTGGTGGTGGAAGTAGTAAGTAGTAGTAGTCGTCGTCGTCGTCGCGGTCGTGGTCGTGGTCGTGGTGGTGCCGGTAGCAGCGGGATGTGTATAGGAGGTGTGGCGAATGGTAGCGGTAGCGGTAGTGACTAGTGGTGCTAGAGCTACATGTACTAGTAGAAAGAGGGACCTGTGACGTTTCTCCTTCCCATCATTATTGCCCGACGCCGGGGTTCGACGATTGACCAGTGGGAGTTGCAGGTGCATAGAATGTTGTCGACTTTTCCAATCACTTACTGTTTACGGAGATGGTTTGAGGAAAAGGGTGCTTTGGTTTGGATTTCTCCCGACGTGCCGGCTCTTCTTCTCGAAAACCCCACACCTCTCCATTGCAGCTGCAGTACCATTCAAGGATGGTGTGCGCTCTCGAGCTTTCTCGGTAGTGATCAGGCAGCCATGGGCGGCAGCGTGCAACCAAGGAATCAGCCACAGAAGCAACAGCTGCGTCGTCAAAAGCAGCTGCCTCTAAACTTTAAACACTTTGACTGGTTAAGGACTGTGAGGTGTCGTCCAGCATAAGCAGCATAAGAGCCCACAGCAGTTCCCTGGTCCCCCTGAGCCTGTTTTCCACAGGCTCCTGGTGTGAGTGAGGAAGAGTCCGTTTTTGTGGCTGTTGCGGACAGGTCAGGCGAAAGCCTGGACACGAGGACAACGGCCACGATCCTGGCAAAGAACCGCGAGCTTCAGCGGGTTTCCTCTGCGCTGGCTGCGAAGGCGGGGCTGCTCATCTGCGGGGTTTCGGGCAGTAGCGATAACACTGGTGACGCTCACGCGATTGCACAAGTCCTGACGCAAAAAATGATGACACTGGACATGCGCGTGAACAAGGTTACTGGTCTAGAAATGTCGTAGTCCAGTAACAGTCATAGTAAGAATGCGACAGTCATAATACCAGCACCGTGCCACATCCCACACCATCACAACAGCAAAGACCATGCTACACCAAGCGCGTGCCCAGGTCCTCATACTGACGCAAGAGCGTGGATGAACTAACTCACAAAGACATACCCATGCTACTAAAACCAGTGTGCAGAAGTCTGACAACGATCTCCAAATGGCGAGACTACGAAAGTACTCAGCTGCTTGTGGGGCCGAAGGCACACGAGGCTGAGATCTACAAGCAAGAGTTGGCCATGACACGGCAGGTGGGGCAGGAGTGGTGCTTGGCTGTTGCAAGTAGTGTAGGCTGCTAGTGGGACACGCACAGGAATTCAGGTCGCACAACACCTCAAGTATGCACCGTCGCATGCTGCTCATGATGCGAGAGGCAGTAGTTAGTTCCGCTTCGCGGTCTGCGGGCTTGATTGTTGCGACGAAGAACCTGCAGGAAAAGAGGCATTCTGCTCCTCCAAAGTTGCGACAGGACTTCATGCACGCATGCTGGGCACGGTGCAAGTCAGTCCAGTCGACAGCTTTTACCGCAAGTACTCAGAAGCAGGGCAGGGCACAGTCTCACTCACAGAGATGGCGAGAGTGGCAGTCAACGACTCGTGACCGCTTGACACTAGATTGGCTAATGTGATTTTCCGATACCGCTATTAGAACATGCAGACAGCACTACTTGCAGAGGAGACGGCGAAGGGGAAGACACCTTCTAAACTTACGAGGCGATGTTTCTGTTGTCAGATGTCTAGGCTCTGCTAAGTATCGCACCTTCATGAATAGGACATGTTTAGGCAAGCTTTTGACTGGATGCTTGCGATTGGTTCAACTTAAAGTGCAGCTCGCAGACTCCGGGCGGCTTGGAACTTAGTTCGGTTCTTTTCCATGCTCTCTAGTCGCGGTTAGCCCATGTTGTTCCTCGACATCTGCCAGGGATCCCGTTCTCGTACAGCCCTGCAGAGCTGAGGAGGAGAGTCGCCGATGTGGGCACCCTTGTGTAGTCGTTGCTGCTTCGCCTGTAGGATCTGTCGAAGGAAGCTGGCGCCACCTTACGAGGTGCGGCGCAAGTCCTGGTGAGGATCCCAGCTTGCTGCGCTGTAGCCGCATTGCAGCTTACCCCGCTTCCTTAGCAAGAGTCTTCCGAGGCTCCGTTCACAGTTGTTCACATGACATGTCGTATCGCATGTGTGAGCATGTTGCCCAGGCGCACGGCGCAGATGAGACGCTGCGCACCCATTTAGTCGACGCCCAGTTTCGAGGCAGGTAGCACAGTTCCGGTGTGGCTCCGTTTCTCTGCACAAACCTTGCATAGGGATCGATGGGAATTCAACACGCAGGCCTTCAAAAGGGTGCAAGCATAAGCATTATACACGGATGTCATAGGATAACCCGACCTTCAGGTGCTTCATTACCAGGGTATGCATATGGAACAGTCCTATGTTACAGGTCTTCCACATCTGCTTTTTGGGAGCCTGCATTGGCCAGTATCAAAGGGTGCTATTTCTGTAGGTTCAGTAGCATCAGTAGCCATGAGAAAGCACGTAAGATGAGGTGGGAGTACAGAGTCAGAGCTCGCGTCTAGTCATCCGCACAGACTTATTATATGATACCAAGCACGAAATACCAGCGCAAACCCCAATCTCGGATCAGCTTGCCTTCGGCCCCGAACCCTTCCAGACCAAGAAAACCGCTGTGCACGTGCGAACCTACCAACCTCGCCTGGAGTAACGAGCTGCGAGAGTCCAAACCCTCTATGAGACCAGGGTGCCTGCTATACCTCTTCAGGCAGCTTCTCAATGTGGTAGCAGCTAGCACACGTCGAGCTCAGACACCTCGCCCGGACTGCCCAAACCGTGAGAGTCGAAGACCTCTCAAAAAAATCCAATATAATATGATCTAATATAGCATGATATGTACAATACCATATGGAAACCTAACATAAATCTAATTTAATGGCTGCCGCCAGTGCCGCCGACCCCCAGGGGATCAGGAACTCGCCGAACCGAGGGCCTATCGCTGCAGAACACTGGAGGAGAGCGCAAGGCAGGAGAGAGAAGAGTCGACAGTGAAGTATATGTTTTAATGGCTAGCGCCAGGGCCGCCAAGTGAGGACTGCTACGCAGTGCGCATCTTGTCAGGTGGCAGGAGGACAATAGAGCCGGAGAGGCAGACTACGTAGGATCACCCGACGAAATTGAGTGACAGCAGATGAACTTGCATTGCCGTACAGCAGACGACCTTGACACATATAACAGTGTTACCGTCGTCGTCTTACTAAGGAATTACAAGCAAATGGTGGTATG